GAGGCAGGAGGATCGCTGGGAGTTCAAGAGCAGCCTGGGCTACATACTGAGTTCCAGGTCAGTCTCAACTACCTAGTGAGACCCTGTCTCAAAAGAAAAAAAAATATATGCTTGGGCCAGGGATTTAGCTCAGTGGCATCGCGCCTGCCTCGCAAGAGCAAGGTCCTGAGTTCTATCTCTGGTACCAAAAAATAAAAATAAAAATGTACGCTCTGTGGAAGACACTCAAGAGAATAATAACACAAGCCACAGGTTGAGAAAAACACTGGGAAAAATTCAAATTGCACAACTTTGAAAACCATAAGAAAATGAGAAAATAATTTCTACATTTTAAAATTAATAAGAGAAAACAAACACCTTGTTTTTTATCTTATCGTGTTCTTTTTTTCCCCTTATTGGCTTGTTTTAAAATAATTAATTATTATTATTATTGCATTTTATCTAGGTTGTTGGCTTTATTAGCTATATTTCGTGTGTGTATGTGGTTTAGTTCTAATATTTACAATTCATCTTTAACTTACTGCATTTTATCTTGACATAAGGTCACACCACTTAATGTATAGTGTAACACTCTTATAACAATGCCCCTCCATTCCCCCTTCCTATCTTTTGTGCTATTGTTACCATTTCTTTCAATTTTCCATGTTACAGGTTTATAAATTCACTTTCCTTGAAGTTAAATCCTGTTAACATTATTAAGATTTACTTCACCTGGCGTGGTGGTGCACGCCTGTCATCTCAGTACTCAGGAGGCTGAGGCAGGAGGATCGCTGTGGGTTCGAGACCAGCCTGGGCTGCATAGTGAGTTCCAGGTCGATCTCAACTACACAGTGAGACCCTGACTCAAAAAAACAAACAAAAAGACTTATTTCATGGCCAAGCAGATGAACTTTATTGATAAATATCCATGTGTCCTTCAAAAGACTGTACATTTTATTGATTTGGGATGGAAGCCACTACAAATGTCAATTAGGTGAAATTAGTTGACAGCATTATTCATATTTTTTGTATTGTTTTGGATTAGGGTTTTCTAGAGGAACAATCAAGCTGGTTTACTAGATCAGAGGTGGGAGAGTCCACAATGGCTGGCTGTGCCCCGGAGAGCTGGAGGATTCAGGAGTTGCTCGGCACTAGAAGCTGGAAAACGCAGAACGAGGGAGCAAGCGTCAGGGCCAGTTGGAGACTGAAGGCCAGGAAGATTCCTGTAGAGGCACTTGAGTCACTGCATTGAAAGGCTGAAGAAAATGGAGTCTGACCTCCACAGGCAATTAGAGTAGCAAAAGTTCTGCCCACTCAGAGTGGAGCTTTTCAAGCACATCCCACCTTCCACTTTCTTTCCCTTTTGTTTTATCCAGGTTACAAGCTGGTAGGTACCATTCTGAAAGTCCTCTTTTGTGTTTTTATGAGGTGTGATAAATACAGAAAATGCTGCTGCCAAGTGCCTTCCAGCAGAAAGGTACACTTGCCAAGACATCACAGTGTGTGTTCTCGTCCACGATTTGGCACTGTGAAACTTCGGGCTCTTCCCCGAAGTCCAAAGGACTAAGAAAGCGGAACGTTTTGAACAGACTCAGTACGTCGAGGCAGCCACAACAGTGCAACGAAAGACACAAAAGAGGACTTCACACCTGCTCCAGAGCGACGAGAGTGATGGGACAAGTGTGTTTAGAGAGGAGTATTTTGAGGGGGATTAATGGCAATGTCTTTTACTGTAATACATTTTTGAAAAACTTCAATATTCATCGGATGTTTCAGTCATACCACATGCTCACTGATTTTTGTGCCTACTTATTCAATTATTGTGAAAGGAGATGTGTAGGTTTATCTGTTTTTTTAGTTTTTTTTGGGGGGGGACCAGGGGTCGAACTCAGGACCTTGCATTTAAGAGGCAGGGGCGGTGCCACTGAGCTAAATCCCCGACCCTAGTTTTATTATGTTTTGCTTCATGTATTTTGAAGCTCTGTATTTAGACAGATAAATAGAAATATTATGACCTCTTGAAGAACTAATCTCTTTATTATGAAATAACCTTTTCCCTGGCTTTTTTTTTTTTTGGTACCAGGGATTGAACTCGGGTCCTTGCGCTTGCAAGGCAGGCCACCGAACCGCTGAGCTAAATCCCTGGCCCCTCCCTGGCAATTTTTTACAAATATACTTTGTATGATTTAATATATTCATTCTAGCTTTCTTTTTTGCAGGGTAGTAGGGATCAAACTCGGGGCCTTGTGCTTTCGAGGCAGGCAGTGGAACCACTGAGCCAAACCCCCGGCCCTCTAGCTTTCTTTTGATTGGTGTTGGAGTAGGATTTGTTCTTCTATCCTATTCCCCCAGTGCTGAGACTCATTCCTAACACTAAGATTCGTCTCTGGTCATTTTAAGTTTTGTAATTTTAAGACTGAGTTTCACTAAGTTGCCCAAGCAAGACTCAAACATGTGATCTTCCTGCCTCGACCTCCCTAAATGCTGGAATTACAGGTGGTGCCAACCCACCTGGCTATCTTACAACTTTTAACCTATGTATATCTTTATAATTACAATGCATTCTGTGGTAGGCATTGCATAGTGAGGTCTGGTTTTTTGTTTTTTTGTTTTTTTACCTAATTGTTTTCAAGGGCTTAGACCATTCATATTTAATATAATTATTAATATAGTTCTATTTATTTGCATTTATTTATTGCAGTACTGAGGATTGAACCCCAGGGCCTTCACACTGACTACATTCCTAGCCCTTTTTTATTTCTTATTTTTTGTTTCTTAGTGAAGGTCTCACTACATTGCCCAGGCTGAACTCAAACTTATAATCCTCTTGCCTCAGCCTCCCAGAATGAAGGGATTACAGGTGTGGGCCACTAGGTCCAGCTAATACACATACCTCAATTTAAATCCACCATATTGCTATTCTTTCAGTCCCATCCCTTTGTCTCTTTTCTACCTTGTTTTGGGTGTGTGTGTGTGTGTGTGTTTCCATTTTATGGAAAACCTTGTGGGCTTGTCAGATATGCGCTTCTCTTTTAGTGGTTGGTTTATAGGTTTGCAATATATATTTTCAACTTATCGGTCTGATTTCAAGGAATGTCACACCACTCTAGGTGTAAGAACCTCAGTGTACTATTTCTCGGTGGTAGTATCGGTGCTGTTGTCATATTTTATTTTTGTATTGGATATACACTCCATAATGATCAATCACTTATCTCAGTGCTTTTCATTCCTTTGTTTAGATTCAGATTTCCAAATGGTTTCATCTTCCTTCTGCTAAAGGCCTTGGTTTTTCTGTAGTATATTTTTTTAAAAAAATGCTTTAACATTTTTTATAGCACATATCTGCTGGTGATGAATTTCTCTGGCTTTCTGTGTCGAAAAATTCCTTATTTCACCTTCATTTTTGAATATATAAATTCTCAGCTGAGAATTTTTCTTTCAGCATTTTAAAGATGCCATTCCATTTTCTTCCGGCTTGCATAGTTTCTGGTGTGAAGTGTGATGGATGGTGGTAGGTGACAGTGTGAATACCTAGAGAGGCGGTAACCATTATTCTCAATGTGTCTTGTGGTGGTGCTTCCAGAGAACACTGGATCGTGATTCCATGGACTCAATGGGGCTGATCTGACCTCAGCTTGGGTGGGGCCAATCAGCGAGGAGCCCAAATAGAACAAAACGCAGAGAAAAGGCAAATTCTCCCCGCTTTCCTGGAGCTGGAGACACTCTTCTCCCGCCCTAGGATGTCACAATTCCAGGCTCTCTGACCTTTGGACTCTGGGATCTGCTTCCTAACACCCAAAGTTAAAACAGGGATGGATGCTTTGGCTCAGGTTGTAGAGGTCCACATTTGGCTGGCTCCAAGTCAAGGTGGCATGGGAGAGGGACATCACAGAGAAACCAGCCCGAAGTTTTCTACTCTTTTTATATTATATCTAGTCTACCACGATTAGGGCTGTGCTAAACCAGTGAATCAGTTGCACCATGAATCAGCTGTGCACTGTAGATCCAGCCACCTCTGAAACAGCCCCATCTATGTTTGTATAAGGCTTTGGGGGAACATCTAGGCACAAGTTGGAACAGTATCTCTGTACATGTATTCTTTTTTCTTCTGCTTCAGAATTTCTCTGTTTTATGATCTTTGTCTTTCATGTTACACAAGTTCTTGTATACTTCAAGCTGGCCTTGAACTCACTATTTTAGCCTAGGTTGGCCTTGAACTCATGGTCTTCCTCTTGCTTCAGTCTGAGTACTGGGATTACAGGTGTGCACCACCACACCTAGCTCTCAAATATATTTTCTGTGCTCCTGTTTTTCTCCTCTCCTGTTGGCACTCCAGTCACAGAATTGGAAGGTGGAATAATGGTTCCCTCAAGACATCTCTGTTACAGGGGAAAAGGGACCATAAAAAAGGATTATGGTAGTGTGATGGATCTGGAGATGGTGGATATGGCAGAAGGCTTTAAACACAGAAAAGGGCTACAGTTTTTAACAAGAGGGAAAGCAAGAAGTTGTCAGGAAAGCTACAGGTTATTTAGCGATAGTTGTTGCAGATGTTAGAGGGCCTATAAAAACTGGCTGTAGAAGGAACAGTGATCCATACTCAGAAAATCACTGAAGCTTTAACAGGAAGCCATTCTTGTTCATTACTGTTAAACAGTTTGCAAAAAGTGCAGCTACTGATTAATGCAATGTAGTGTTAAAGACATGCATGTACATCCCCGAGATATACCAACTATTGTAGCTTTTTTCTTTTCATTACATCAGATATATTGTCCAAAAACTGTGGTAATAGTTTCAAGAATAAACAAAATTAGGAAGCCAGGAGTGATGGCACACACCTTAATCCCAGTACTCTAGAGGCTGGAGGAGGATGTGAGCTTGAGGCCAGCTTGGGCTATATAGCAACACTTCGTTTTAGAAAGACAAAAACAAAACAAATTTAAGAACTTTTCACTACAATGCCACATGTGCATGTGCACGCGCACACACACACGAAAATTATCCTAGATTATCTGGCTGGGTCCAGTGTAAATCACTTCACGAATCTGCGTGTTATCCTTGCACAGGGGCCATACTAATCGATTTTCTCTGTATCATTCCAGTGTAAGTAATATGTGCTGCCCGAGTGATCATTCCAGTGCAAATCACAAGGGTCCTTAAAAGTGGACGAGGGAAGCAAAAGAGAGGATAGATCAGAGTAATGCAAGCTGAGGACTAGACTGGTTGGTTTAGAAGACAGAGTGAAGATACCACAATCTGAGGGATGCAAACAGCCTCTAGAAGCTGGAGCAACCAAGGAAATGGATTTTTCCCTTGTGCCGCAGCCCTCTTGACACTAGTGAAACCTTAGTTGTACTTCTGGTAAAACTTAAGAGAGTAGGGGCCGGGGATTTAGCTTGGTGGCACTGCACCTGCCTGGCAAGCACAAGGTCCTCAGTTTGAGCCCAGGTACCAAATCAATCAATCAATCAATCAATAAAACTATGAGCATAAATTTCTGCCGTTTCAAGGCACCTTTGCCCTTCAGTACCACTCGGCTACCGTTGTTCTTTCAATAGCAGTCACAGCAAGCTAACAACTGTCTTTTCCACAGGTCAGGTAGATTTTGCCTTTTCTTTTCTGAATGTACTTTATTTGGGATAATGAATACTGCTTCAAGTCTTTGTATTTTGTAGTGGCTAATTTGCTATCTGATGTAGTTGTACATTGGAGTAGAACTCGCCTAAAGTCAAATAGTAGCAGAGCAGAATTCAAAACAAAATGTGCCACAAAGCACTAGCTATTATGACCTCAAATATGGTGCTTGTCTTTATTATGTGTGAATATCTTAAATAAACCAAAATTAGAATATATTAAGACTGATTGCTTTAACCAACACACCAGAACTTCTGTCTTCAGGTATTATTCTTAAAAATAATTACTTTGAAAGAGCACAAACATTTTAATACTGTTTATAGAACGTTTAGGGCTTTTCCTACAAAATGAGTTGGTGAACCACAAACAACATAAATGTTACTGTTATGTTACTTATTAATACCCACATACCTACCTACCATATTCATCAGTCTTGGATCTGGCCAGTTTTGTCTGCTGCCAAAAATCAAATTTATCTTCACAAGATGAAGCTAACTCCATTTCATCATGCATCTTAAAAAAAAAAGAAAAAGAAAAAAAGATCCACAGGGCCCAGGGATTTAGCTAAGTGTGGTTCCGCAGCCTGCTTCATAAGCACAGGGTCCCAAGTTCAATCCCAGTACAAAAAAACAAAACAAACAAAAAAAACCCAGATAATTAAAGCAAGTTGTGCTAGTCACATTCTAAACATTGCAACATTTTTTTATTTTTTGGATTTAAAATTTTATTCACTTAAATTTGCAGTGTTGGGGACTGGACCCAGGACCTTTGCACTAAGCTACATCCCCAACCCTTTGTAACTTTTTTGAGAATAAATTAAATAAACTTAACTCTAATCCAAAGACACTGCCAAGCCCTGACAGTTCCACTGCAGCTCATGGCCTCTGTTTAGGGCACAGCAAGCCCCAGGGCCTCAGAGCAGTAAAGGCTCCTGGCAAACCCAGGAAAACCTTGCAGGCTTAGGCAATAATGGGGCCCTGTGGAAAAAATGATGTAGAAAATACCTCTGGCATCTATTTCCTTCCTTATGGAAGTCCAAACTTCTTCACTCTAGAATAACTGGGAAATTCTAAGTCAATTAAAACTGCCTATAAAATTTTAAATTGCTTCAATCCAGCAGCCACCTTTCCTTTCATCTCTTACCAAATCAACTAAGTTAATCCAAAATTGAGTAAGAAAATTTACAATAAAAATGGGTTTGAGTTTTCTTTTCTCAGATTTAGTATTGCTACTGAGAATAGATAAATCACATTTCAGAACTCCAGCAAGAAACAGTGTCTTGAAGCCACATTTAGGAAGAAGCAGTTTTCCCCCCAGTATTAAGGATTGAATCCAGGACCGTCATTGCATCCCATCTACCCACTATCCCACCCCCCCTTTTTTTTTACCTTTGCTAAATTGTCCAAAATTGAACTGAAGATCCTCCTGCCTCAGCCTACTAGAGTGCTGGGATTACAGGTACGTCCCACCACAGCAGGTTTAGAGGAAGCAGGTTAGATAGACTGAACCATCAGAGGGACTATGCATACCTTTTCAAAGTGGGCATGAGACTTATCACTATTGTGATTCTTCAGATCAAGCAGAAGTACAGCAGAGTGGAATTAATCTGAAATGGAAGGCTGAAGGCAATTTGTTTTATTCAACACCATGAAAGAGAGTCCTCGGGTATGAAAGTGTACTTTGATACTCCTGTTAGAAAATTAGCCTAATTAGATATGAAAATCAGTAGCTGTATTTTTGTACATTCTCTGCCCTTATTGCTTTGAACACTCTTCACCCCAGGCCCTTTCTGTGTCTGGCCTGGAAAAGGGCATTTCCTTACTGTGACTTTCCTGACCCTAATGTGTAAGTAGTCAGGATGCACTTCTGTGCCTAGTAGTCTGGTGAGTGCAATAACTTAGGTTGTCTTTAATTTTTTTTTAGTACTGGGGATCAAACTCATGTCCTTGAGCTTGCGAGACAATCAGCAAAACCACTAAGCTAAATCCCTGGCCCATAAATTTTCTTTTTCAGTTTCAGCTTTCAGTAATTTCCTTATCTTCTCTAACTGACAGATGCTGTTTTTTGTTTTTGCACTACTGGGGATTGGACACAGGGCTTTCACCCTGAGCTACATTATCAGCCCCTTTTTTCTTTCCCTCCTCTCCTCCTTTGAGACAGTCTTGTAAGTCACTAAATTGCCCAGGCTGGGTGTCAGCTTGTCATCCTCCTGCCTTGTCCTCTTTTATGATGATTCATAGTGAGATGCAAGATCATTTCAGATTATATAAAGAGGTAAATAACCGTGCTGAGTTCCAGAAATATATGCTATTACTGGACTGAAAAGTGCCATGGGAGACAGTCTAATGGGGTAAAGACAAGTTTTAAAATAATGCAAAGAAATTTATGTTGTCTTTTTCCTTTAAAACTTTTAGTTTTTGCCTCCATGTGAAAGGAGGTAAAACTTAAAATTCTAATTTAAGGATTTTTCATACCTTAGTTTTTGACACTCTAGTATTTTTTTTTTTTTGTACTGGCGATCGAACTCGGGCCCTTGCACTTGTGAGGATGGCTGCAGAACCATTGAGCCACATCCCTGGGGATTGAACCTAGGACCTTTACTATGAGCTACATCCCCAACCCTTCTAAAAGTTTTTGAGACAGTTGCCTACGCTGGGCTCAAACTTGTGATCTTCCTGACTCTGAGGTGCTGGGATCACAGGTGTGCAATTTTAATTTCTCTTACATTTTTTTCATACCAAAAGCGACTATCTTAGCCTGTGTTCCTACAAGTGGAATGACCATGTGCAAAGATACAACTAGGGCTGGGGATTTAGCCTAGTGGTAATGCACCTGCCTTGCAAGTGCAAGATCCTGAGGTCGATCCCAGGTCCCCCCCAAAAAAATATGTATGTATGTATATATGTATGTATGTGTGTGTGTGTATGTATATGTGTGTGTATGTATGTGTATATATATATATATATAACTATTGTATATGTGTGTGTATGTATATGTATATATATATATATATATGACTAAGGGTCCACATTGTTAAGATCTACTGCAGAAATACCATTCAGGTAGATGGACCCATTTCACTCCCGTTAGCAGTATATCCAGAATGTCTTATCTCACAAATCTGGTTTTACTATGTGAAAATTGTTAATCCATGTAATACTTTCATAAACACATTATTATACTCAATTATAATCATTCTTGTGGGCTCCCTGTCAACTGGACTGCCGTATTATAGTAGGCTGAGTCTATTTTTATAACCTCATTCATGATACATCCACTCATTCAGGAGGTTTTTATTAAATGTCTGCTATGTCTTGTTCCTGGAGAGCCAGCTCTAAGGGAACATACATTTTATTGGAGACAGAAAATAAAAGTAAAATTATAAACAGGCAATAAATGCTATGGTCACAAGTGAAACAAGAAGAAATTAGGGGGCTGGGGAAGAAGAGTCTGCTGTTTCTTGTGGGTGGGGAGGAAAAGCCTCACTGGTGCAGTGACAATGGGAGAGGTATCTGAAGCATTCTGTGCAGTTACCTGAGGGAAGAGTATTTCAGGGAGTGCAAAGAGCATGGTTTAGAGCTTGCTTAGGATGCATGAAAAGCAAGGAGGCCAGTCTGGCTGGAACACGGAGGGGAGCAGAAAATGGTCAGATAGTAAGACTTGTGAGCCTTGCTGGTACTTTGTTATTCTGAGATCAGAAGCTACAGAAGCATGAGAGAAATCCCATGATTTGAGACGTTTTCATAATCTGCTGTGCTTACAACAGAATGTGTGGTTAGCATTATGGTGGAAAACAGCTAAGAGAGTATTTTGATAATTCAGGCAAGAAATTATGACTGATATTAAGATAACAGAAATGAGAAATGGATTCTGCCTATACTTTGGAGGTAGAGCTAGTGAATTTTGCTAAGGTGTTGAAGGTCCACTGAATGAGAAACAGAGGAGGCAATCATAAATCCAAGATTTGGGCAAATGAAACGATGAAAATGCCATTTACTAAGAAGAAAAATACTGCAAGAGGAGGTGAGGAAATTGGGAGTTTTGGATGTTAAATTTGACATATAAATGATCTACCAAGTCGTACTGATATTCAAATTGCACCATATGTGGGTTGGTTGTGGACTTCATGAACACCCTCTGTTGTTTCCTTTAAGATTGCTTGTAAGTAATGCTTAAACATACAAGATATGGTGGTGCATATCCATAACCCCAGTAATCTGGGAGGCTGAGGTAGGAGGCTCAAAAGTCCAGTCAGGACAACTCAGTAATTCAGCAAGACCCTGCCTCAAAATAAAAAAGGGCTAGGGATGTAGCTCAGTGCAAAGGCCCCAGTTGCAATCAGTCAATCTATCTATCCATCCATCCGTCTCAGAAGTGACAGGCAAGGCCTCAACTTCCATGAATACTCAAGTGTTTCACCCCACGCCATGAAGAGTTAAAATTTTGGTTCAAATGCCCTGTTGAGTGACAGCCACACTCTATCTGCCCCTACCCAGAC